TATAAAATATATATATATATATATATATATATATATATATATATATATATATATATATTAATGTATAACTATATATTTTTATATATGAACATATTCCGTATATAATTATATAAAAAAAATTTTTTTACCGGGAAATTATTGCGATAAACTAAACAATAAAATAAGGTTCATGTCGCAGAAAGCTACATCTCCAAATTTATTTATATATATTACTAGCACAGATCTGCTCTTTGTGAATGAACTTTCTGCACTGGCAGAAAATATATGTACACCAAAGTGTTCTTTCTGACGATCAGATGATGTCATATATTGAGTCTGTTCTTTTTAGTCTATGTACTAGTATACCTAATATTCATGTTCACTCATATTCACTTAATATACATATAACAGATGTATGCAAAAACATGATCAAATTCACTTAAAAGATTTAAATATCAAGGTAAATTTCTGAATTTATTTATTCAACTTTGTCTGTAGTAGGGAGATATAAAAACATTATTTGATTATAGGGAGATTAAAAAATATTTAAATATTAAGTTAAATGCGTATTAATACTTAAATATTTTTAAAATATCTAGTCTAGCCATTCTCTGATATATTGGCACTTGATAGGTGTAACAGATCCTTCATCACGACATTGTCTTCTCACCTAAAAAGAAATATTGTCTAAATATTTTCAATATTATAATGAAATAATTATAAAAAATGAAATTAAGACCAGTCAAGATATAAGTTTCAAAAAGCAAATATTTACATAGTAATACTATTATATTAGCTTTTTTGTTTATTAATAATTCTAATTAAACTCTATATATTTTAAATTATTCCTCAATATGGATTTGTGTTTTTAAGATTCCCCTTAAGTGAAGATTAAAAGTAAACATTTAATCAAATAACGTTAAAAATATATAACAAAGTAATTATTATACGAACATTTGTTTTCTGATTTATATTAATCTCAATTTGTATGCACACATGATTTAATTATTATTCATTTAACAAATCTTGTGATTTTTTTCGTTAATTCTTATAAGTACATCTGTTATATATCTTACTGGACAAAGACCACAAGGAGTTCTAATTAATCCAGGTGAACTAAGCATAGGTTTAATTACTCTATATAAATTACTTCCGTCTCCTGCTAGTATCCGTTCAACCTTACCATCATAAACTAAGGTATTTAAAATCATTTCCATGTTAGTTACAGATAATTTAACCTATAAATATCAGTTTAGAATAACATAAGTATACAATAAATACATAATGTAGAAGAAAAATACTTTAATGCATGAAAAGTATTAAAGTATTACCTTGCTTATTCCTAAATCTGAAATAAATTTCCATACTTCCTTAGAAGAAGCAAACGTCATATTTCTTGCACCGATAGGTCCAGTGTTACAATTTTTTATTTTTTCTCTTTTTTGCTCCAAAAATCTATAACATTGCTGATTCAACACATCAACAAATTCTGTTTCAAAATCTTGATCTTGATACCAAGCACCACCTGTTACAGACTCATCTGGTTCTAAATTATATAGCATATATACTTTTTTCTTACTAGCTCCTACAGGTTTAACAACTTTGATAAACTTTTTAGTTTCTAAACTTTTCAAAATTTTTTGTAATGGAGTATGCATTAAATTAGATTTAAATCTTATATCTCGAGTCCATATTCCCTTATTTCCTGCTTCTTCAATAATTCTGTATACTATTTTTTCTTCATTATCAGCACATTTAACAAACTTTGTTGGTATCTTTTAAACGATAATATAATAAATCTCCATGTTTAAAAAAGATCAAAGTGTCCATTAACCAATAGCTTATTTATAATATTAGC